ACCACCAGAAAGCTGGAAGTGGGACTATGGCTCAAGTAGTGCCTAGCTTTGAGCAAAAAAACCTTAGGGACAAGGCTCAAACCTTGAGTTCAAGATCCAGGACTGACACATAGAAAAAGAAGTATTGGTTGGATGGGTGAAAGGGTGCTGTCATCCTTTTTCCTCAACCATCGTGGAGCCACTGTGAGGGCTAAGGATCTGCAGGGGGTTGTGTGTGTGTCTAGCTATTTCTCCATGTGATCACTGCCTGGTGTCTGTACCTTTGTGATCATCTCTTGGGGGCTCAGGAATCCACAGACTACACGTTCCCTGTTCAAATAATGTGTCCCCCACGTGACTTCTGACAAGCTCAATGTACTTTAGCTTCCCAAATCTCCCAGCTCTGCCCCATGTCTTCTGGTCCCCAGAATCTCACCCCTGGAGCTGCTAGAGCACGTTCCATCCCTCTTCCAAGGCCTCCTGTTCCAAGGCCCCCTGTTCCAAAGCCAAATCTGCTGTCATATCTGTGTCCTCCCTCTTTCAGTGCTCAATTCTCTGTCCTCCAGCTACCAGCCTTGGCTATGGTATCTCCTCCAATCTCCTCCACTGCCCCTAACTAAATCCATGCACACCTCCACCATGCCCTTTGCTCCTTTAAGACAGGCTCCTCCCAACAATTCTCCTCTTGTTCAGTCCTCCTCCACCCACCTTAACCGTCAAGACTGAGAGAAATAACTACTTTGGATGCCTCCCCTCCTCGCTTTCCCTCACCTGAGTCACACACAAGCTAAATTAGTGACTGAGTGTTGTGTGTAAAGGAGCTAGTGCATGAAACTGAGGTCTTTCCCTACCAGCTCAGGACACCCAATGCGGGATAGCTAAAAAGTGTCCAGAGGCTTTTACCTAAATTTTAGAATTAAGGGATTAACTGTGGCAGCTCCAATTTTAAGTTCAGGAAAACATGAATCTTAGTAAGGCGAAATGGGGTACAATAAACTGAATTGTGCCTTTCAAAATTCTGATGTTGAAGCTCCAATCTCCAATGTGTAGTTGGAGAGAGGGTCCTTAGGGAGTATTAAAATTAAGTGAAGCCATAGGGGTAGGGCCCTAATCTAATAGGATTAGTGTATTTATAATAATAAGAGACACCAGAGCTGCAGTCCAGGAAGTCTTGGGAAAACACTGAGTTTCAGCAATCCCCAAAACCATAGGGAAATAAACAACTGTTGTTTGAGGCGATGTCATCCATAGTGTTTTGTTACAGCAGCAGGAGTTGACTAATCCTGTTGCTGGATCCATGGTGAATAGTCACCATATCAAAGATGACAACAATGACAGGATCCCTTTTTGGAGTGCTTACAACGGATCAGACACAGCAAAGAACTTCCCTGAGCAAGTGAATCTCTTCTCACACCCACCTGGGGCTGATAGGAGCTTGGTGACCCTAATTTACAGATGAAGTGAGGGAGGCCCAGAGAAGCTAATTGACTTGTTCAAGGTCACTCTGTGGTGGCCAAGCTGGATCTCTCAATCTGGGTCAGTCTGGTTCTGCAGCTCTAGGTATAAATCTCTTGTGATCCTGCTGTTAGGGGGAGGGAAGCAGCCCTTCCAAGCCCTTGCAGCCTCATGGACATATATGAACAGGAAGGACAGGGTAAGCTCCTCAGGCCTAGGCAGGAGCCCCTGGCAGCAAACTGCACTGGTGTGGGGACAGTACTTCCTGGCCACCTGGAAGTATAAGGTAGACCAAGTTGCCTCTTACCCTAGCCTCTAACAGTCCAATATTTTCCTTCTTCCCTGAGAACTTCATTCAGCCCCTCTAATTCTTCCCTATCTGCTTAGAATACACTGGAGACATTGATGTTGTCTTAGCATAGTGTTTCTGTCCCAGTAATGCATTGTCCCAAGCCTATCATCATCTCTGAGTGACTGTCATTACCACAAAACTTGTCTCCTGCCTTTCACTTTGTGCTCTCCTGCAGTCCACTAGACAGCAGCCAGGGCCACTCTTAAAAACACAGAGCAAGCTGGGCTCCAGTAGCTCACACCTATAATCCTAGCTACTCAGGAGGCTGAGATCTGAGGATCAGGGTTCAAAGCCAGCCCAAGAAAATCTGTGAGACTCTTACCTCCAATAAACCACTAGGAAACTGGAAGTAGTGCTGTGGCTCAAGTGGTAGAGCACTCGCTTTGAGTTGAAGAGTGCAGGAACAGCACCCAAGCCCAGAGTTCAAGCCCCATGACCGACAAAACAACAACAACAACAAAACACACACACACACACACACACACAATACACACACACACAGAGCAAACTGGTGGCATGCATGTCATCCTAGCTATTCAGGAGGCTGAGGATGGAGTTTGAAGCCAGCCCAGGCAGAAAAGTCTGTGATGCTCTCTATCTCCAATTAACCAGCAAAAAAATTGAAATTGGAGGTATGGCTTGAGTGGTAGAAAGCCAACCTTGGGTGAACAAGCCAAGTGAGAGCATAAGGTCTGGAGCTCCAGTCCCAGTACCAACTTCAAGCAAACAAATAAACACAGAGCAGATCACATCAAACCCTTAGCACAAACATAGTGCTGGCTTCTTATTAAACTTACAATAAAATCCCAGCTCCTAACCTCTACTTAGAAAGCAATGTGGGATCTGCCAAGGTTACTTCTCTCTCCCTCTGTCCTAACTCCATTAGTTCTTAAAAGAGCCCAGCTGGTTCTGCTGCAGGGCCTCTGTGCATGCTGTTCCCTCTGCTTGTAATACTTATCCTCACAGATCTTCCTGGAACCAGTTCCTGCTTGTGTTCTGGTCTGAGCTCAGAGAAGCTCTTTCCAAGCACCTGACACATGCCAATGAATGTGTTTTAATTCAATCTAGAGCCCTTGGTGCACCTGACAGGACCTTGTATTTACTCATTCACTTGTTTATCATTTCTCTTCTCTTACCCTGGATACTTTCCATGACAGGTAGGATTTGGGCTAGCACCTGGAACCAGCTTGCACACAGTGGGCCCTCCCTTTACTATGTGAAGAAAGAATGAATATGAATGAATGACACATTTTTCTCAAGGACAGATGAAGAGAACCCTGCAAACCTCCCATGCTGCTGGGGTACTACCCTACTGTCCCCTACTCCCACCTCTGCCCAGGAGCAAGTCCCCTCTAAAGGTCAAAGGGCTCCTCCACTGCCCCAAGCTGCCTTCCCAGGCTAGCACCTAGTCCTCAGCCAGCTGGCAAAATAAGAACCTCTTCAAATAGAAATGTCCTTCGGACCAGCCCAGTGCTCCAGGGCACCAGGCGGTGGGGGTGGTGAGTCTGGAAGAACATTTTCCCCACACCCCACATCCAGCTGAGGCCCTCCCCTGGGATGGCCACTGTTGCCTAGGAAATGGTTCTCCCAGGAGCCACTGGTGTTAACTCCTTGCCAGCCAGGAACAGCAGCCTGCCTCTGTGTCAGAGGCCATGGATGTTCCCAAGGGAAGAAGATATGGTAGTGCCCTTCCTCACTAAAACCCTGAAATATTTAGAGCTGTTACAGTGCTGAGACAAAAGGAAGAAATAGGTAGGAAATTGTTCTCCCAGGGTAGAAGTCACAAATCATTGCCCTACCTGCCTAAGTCCTGGGAGCAAGGCATTCCCAGGTCCCTGCACCCACTCCTTAGATGGTCCATGGCCTACAGAGGAGCTGGCACACCCTGACACTCAAGCCCCCATCACACCTCCACCATGCTTAGACCAACTGATCCACATTTCCAGGACTGATTCACCACACATGACAGAGCTGGGCAGGGATGACCATGTCCAAAATCCTGGCTTTCACATTTATTAATTGGGAATCCAGGTTTTGAATGACAAAGGTACCAATTATTTTATTCCAAGTCCATGTTTATTTCTCTGATATTTTCCATCTGTTATAGTCATCTCAACTCTTCCTAGGCTTCTATTACTTCATGAACTCATTTGATTATTACTTTTTAAAAACATGTCCTCACCCAAGGGCATAGCAAGAGAGAACTTTCCTTTTCCCTCTGTCTTGTTCACTGTAACAACTTCAGGCTTACAACAGTCAATGGCACGTGGAAGTTACTTGAGGATGCATTCTAGCAAAACTACAGTAAAAACAGAAAAAGGTAACGAGAATAATGTCTTAATCTAAGAAGGTAGAAAAGAGAAATCTCATGAATATTACTGTGCAGCAACTAGTTTAGGCTGGAGCAGGAATAAAAATCTAGGATTTCTGCCAGGGGAAAAACAATAAAGTAGGCTCTATGTTATAAAGAGTAAAATTGAGATGCTAAATAATCTTGAAGATTGAAAGGTCTATTATTCTCTGAGTAATAAAAAAGAAAGGCAATTAGAAACCCCAGGGAAAAAACCTAAAAGTTATATTTTAAAAAGTCTTGGACTCAATATGAAACAATTTAATATATGGCACAATTTAATATAAGAAAAGGAGAAAATCTATTTGATTTTTCAGCAAATATCATTCTTCTTTGAGTGATCAAAAGAACAGACAACAGAATAGGAACTTCAATTTTACCACACTAGTTGGCCCTGAGGAAAACAGTACTTATCTAATAACAAGTAATAACATTTATTCAGTGTCTGTATGCCGAGCAGGGTTTTGAAAGCTTTGCATTTAATATTATCTAATCCTTACAGCTCTCTTAGGTACATATTATCATTCCCCCTATTTTGCAGCAGGAAGATGAAGCTTGAAATAGACATTTTCTGAGGTCAAATGGGTGGTATAAAGGCTGGATTCACATCCAAGCTCTGATTCAGAGGTCCATTCTCCAGAGCTGGCCACAGAGTCTAGACTACAGGCCTTCAGGCCCTGTCCTTGACAAGAGAAGCATGAACATGCACATATGCACACACACACATGTGCACACACGCGCACACACACACACACACACACACACACAGAGTTTCTACTCCTCTTTCTTTCTCCTCTGAAAGCTGGGATGTATGGCTGACCCAGGCTGGGCAGCTAGAATGGCAGAGTCAGAACAGGGCCTTACCTTCCTGCAGTCTTTGCAAAATACTGAGGAGCTCCCCAGGAAGCCCAGCACCTCCCCACACAGCAGACATTGGGAGAGGCCGTTCCCCATCACATTTTGCCTCATGGTCTCCAGCCGCTCCACCAGCCGCCTGCAACGTAGGACGTAGAGTCAGTGCTTCCTGTCACCAATGCAATGACTGCTCAGACCCAGCTGCAACAGAACTCAATACTACACCATGTCACAGACTGTCTCCTTAACTGGTCTGTTCCCTGCCCCATCCTTTCCCCAGCTAACTCCTAATCATTCATTCCTTTACCAACTATTGATGGAGCATTTACAATGTGACAAGACCAAGGAACTCACGTTCTAGCAGGGAAGAAATCCTGAAGAAGAAATCACTTTCAGACAGGGAGAATCCCATGCCATGTATATGGTAGGAGAGTGGGTAGGGACAGGTGAGGAGCCACAGGTATGTCAGATAGGGCCAGGGAAAACTCTGAACTGAACACATGCACTGAGAGATGAAAGACAGCAAAGACCAATCATGTGACAGAACAGCCAGGAAAGCTTCCTTCCAGGCAGCTGGGACAGCAAGCACTGTGGCTTGGGCTGGGAAACATCAGCAAGGAGGCCAGGAAGGCTATTCCCACCTCCCTCCCCCTCGGCAGCAACAGGAAGATGGGGACAATGAAGGAGGGGGAAGCAAGAGAGGGTCACATGAGTTTACAGGTCACAAAATGGGGTTGTGTTTTTCTAAACTCAATCAGAAGCCACTAGAGGTTTTGAAGAAGGGAAGAGATTTGACCTCAGTGACATTCTCCAAAGCTGTGAAAAGCTGGGATTAGGAGAGCAAGAGGGAAGAAGTCAGTAAGAGGCTAAGGCCACCCTGGAAAGGACAGACCCAGGCTGCATCTCAGAGGCAGCATGGGTGGCCGGGGGGGGGGGGGGGGGGGGAGGGGGGGCAGGGTGACAGGAGGCTTTGGGTCACAGCATCTGGGAAAGTGAGAAGCTGAAGCAGGAAAGTGAAGGGAAAGAACCCAGATCCTGTCTGAAATGGTTCAGTTCTGGCCATCAGGAGGCTTTCCTGTACCCTGTTAAACCTGATTGACCCCTTTCCTGGGGCTCTACAGGCCTTCATCATACTGTAACCACAGCCGCTAGCGGAAAAACACTATAGCCTCCTCAGAACTGTTCTAATTTGTGAGTCACTATGTTTGCAGGACACAGAGGACAAGATTCTTGAAAGAATGAAGAACAACGAACAACATTGCAGGCATATCATCTCATCTCCTCTGTCAGACTTCTAGTGAGGAAGATGCATTTGAAAGATTTGAAGACCGAGACTCAACAATGTGAAGCCACTTGCTGGGGTTACAAAATTCCCAAGAGGTGGACTCAGGGTCCATCCCAGGCCTGTCTAGCTCATATCCTCCTCAGGCCGTGCAGTATTGCCACTGGAGCTGAGGGACAGCAGACTCAGCAATGACACTGCCTCTACCCATGTGTCTTCCATAGGGACATAGTCCTTCACCTAGGAAACAACAGGGCCTGGGAGCAGCCCCAGCTCCTACCAGGCATAAACTATTTGTTCTTAGGGGAACCTACTCCATACCTCCACACCTCATATAAACACACAAGATGCAGTTCCTTCCCCTGAATGATAGATAACCTACAATACTGCTTCTGGATCATTCCATGTCCCTGTACACACATCAAAGCCAGACAACTGGATGGATGAAGGGGCCCATGAATGGTTCCATAGCACAGGGGAGCCTTCCATGAAGTTCCTGGTGGAGTTGGAGCCCCAGGATCAATCACTAGTATTTGAGGTAAGAGCTTGGCAGGGCACTCAGGGAGTAGATCTGTAGAAAGCTGGGCCTCAGCCAGTTAAATGAAAAGAAAAGAAAAATCTCAGGAGTGTGAGGTGAGTGAGCCCTGCTTGAGCTGTTATTGAGGTACATACCAGACACGGTGAACCAACAGCCACCAATCTATCCAAAACTGCGCTTTTACAGTTCCTGATTTACAAACACGATCATCTCACAAACAGAAAAAAGATAAGTAGAAAAAGAACAGGGAGAGCAGAACAGAATGAATTCCTGCTCCATGCCACGTGGTCTGGTCCCAATTGTGTGTTACTACTTGTGCTTTTCTGTTATTTCTCAGATTTTTTTTCTAGGAAATGTTTATTGCTTTTGTAATTCAATGACAACAAAAACAACCTTGCACCACAAAGACCATCGAACGACTGAGTCATGGTCAGCTCTGAAAGTCACAGGCTGGCAGCGCTTAGGACACGCTGGAGGATACCTCCTGCTGGGACCTGGTGGGGCGTTTCGTGTTTCGGAATCCTGCTATGGACAGGGGTGCAGACAACAGGCTCAGTGTGGTTGGCTAGGACTCTGTGACCTGGGGCTCATGTCAGTCACTAACCCTGCTTAGACAGAACTTGGAGGGGCTGGCTGGGTACTTGTCTATAGCAAAGAAACTGGGGCCCTCTGACTCATACCCACTGGTGACCCCATTGTTGGACCCAGTGCACTAGCCTCTTCGCCCCTAGGATCTCTTGCAGTGCCCCTGCCTTCCTTCCACTGCTGGCTGCTGCCCAGCCGGTCCAGCCCTTACCCGATTCTCTGCTGCTCCATGATGTCAAGCCGCTCAGCCCTCTGGATGACTTGCAGAATGGCCTCTACCTCTGCTGAGCTGAGGCACTGACTCCTCCTCTGTTTCTCTGTCTGGTAGGTATGCACGGACCAGCCTGTGTGCAGCCTGGGAGGGAATACCACCAATGGTTGTGAGGCTTTCCAGTGCAAACCTGGGCCCCTACCCTCAACATATCCATAAATCCCTTCTGAGAATGTGTGGGGACAACCCAGGTGGTATGGGACCAGGGCCCTTAATGAAGAACCATAACAAGAATTCTTAGAAGGCCTGGGAATATGTCCATCACTGAGTTTCAGCTTTACTGTAAGACAATGAGCAACCAGCTGTCCTTCTTCCAGAAAGGGAGTTTCTGGAGGGTCAGAAACTCCCTGCCCCTGCCCCATCTGGTCCTGGCTGACCTCTCCATCTCCCCTTTATGAGCTCACTCTTCACTAGAGTCACACTGGCCTCCTGTCAAGGCCTTGCATGTATCATGCTCTTTCTACCTCAGGGCCTTTGTACTTGTTTTTGCTTCCTAGAACTTGCTCTGTATTCCCATCTGACCTAAGCAAAGGGAAGTCTCCCTAACCCCAAATTAAGTTAGCCCCCCCACCCCCCACTACCGCCAAGTATCATGGCAGCCACTATAGTAAGTATACGTGTAATATCCATAAATCCTTCCATATTTCTGCTTTAAGGCAAAGAACCATGCTGGTCTTGTTTGCTGCTATGCAACCAGTGCCTGGTACATAGTAGAATTTAGAAATTGTGCAGACTTAGGAGCCTGCTTGTTATTCTAAGAGATTGAAACTTCAAGGCTAGCATGGGCTACAAAGTGAGACCCTATATTGAAAAAAAAAAAAGAAAGAAAAGGAGGAGAGGGAAAAGAAGGGAAGGAATGAAAAGAAAGGAAGTAGAAGAGATAAAGGAAAGAGAAGGAAAGAGAAAAAAGAAACTGGAGGCAGCTGCCAAGACTGGCTGGAGGCCCTGCAATGGAGAGGGGCAGAGAATACCCAGGTCCTGGGGGATCCTGAGGGGTACACTCCTGCCCTGCAGCCCTGGACGAGGCACTACTCTTCACAAAAGACTACAGGCAGCACACCCAGGGGGAGGATATAAGAACATCCCCTCTTCTGAAGGGTGCTCCTCCAGGTCTCCATGGTGAGAGCCAAGGTCAGAGAGAACTAAGGGGATGCTGGAGGGGTCAGTGAGAATCCCTTGGGCCTAGGGCAAGCTGCTGCGTTCTCCCAGTGCCTTGTGCTGGGTAGGGCATGGCATCTGCCTGGCATCACGGGCGAGGAAGATGGGCTGACCTTATCCTGGGTACTATTCCTGGAAGAGTGGGGGAGGCTGAAGGGGGCTGAGCTACCCGGGCAAAGGGGACAAAGCAACTGTGGGGCAAAGCAGCCTGCAAATCACGCATGAAGCCTCTCTTCCCAGGCATTTCAGATTAATTTTTCCACCCCCTTTGATGTTCAGAGCTGTCCCCCTGCAGGCTCATAACATCTAATTGCAAATTTCTTAAACTTGGTCCCCGTTGGGAAATGCTGGCTCTCGTAATTGGCACAGTTTGATAGACATAGGAATTTATCAGACACCAGGGATCCCCAGTCCTCGGAGGCCTGGGGAGGTGCTAAAAGAAAGAGAGGCATCTGAAGTGCTACCCTCTCTCCTATGGGCACAGGAAGTAGTAGGGGAGGCATCAGATCTAACAGGAGCTGAGGGTCACCAGGCTGAGGGTTAACAGGAAGACTGGGATCTCAATAAGGACCAGAGAAACTTGTTGGGAGCAAGAGAAAGACCTGGAAAATTTCAGCGAGGGGAAGCTCTTCATTCCTGACAGGCTATTGCTCTGAGCCCTGAAGGTAGTGTCCACACATCAAAGGCTCCCTGCCTTAAGGGGCTTTGGAACTTTAGACTCAATGACAGAACAAGGGGCAGGTAAAGTAGTCCAGCCCTTGCAGCTTGCTGGGACAAACTGAAGGCATGAGTCAGCTAGGTTCAGGAGTGGGTCCCAGTGAGGTGATTCACAGTTAAGGGACAAGGCCAAGGAAGTTAGTCTCACTTCCCCCATCTGAGAAATGGAGATAAATTCTACTCAGTGCATAAATGAACTAAGTGCCCAGCTCAAAGCCCAGAGGACAGGCAGCTCTACCCCCTAGGAAGGATAGGGTAAGGCAGGAAGGAGGGAGGGATGCGAGGGAGTGAGGAGGCACTCACTTGGCTCTCAGGGCTAGTTGCCGGTCATTGGGACAAACCCACTGGTCACTGCCACTGCCGAAGATGGTGTCAGCCATGGCTTGGAGCAGCAGCCGGGGCACCAGTCACATCTGAGAAGAAGAAAAGAAAGGACAAAGTGTCACTGGCTGTGGTGCTAATGGCAGACAAGTTCTCACTGAATGTAGGCACCAGACATTTGGCACTTCCAACCCTGTATGTCCCTGACTGACACCTGGATTCCAGCAAAACATGGCTCCTGTCCAAGCTTTTGCTTCTGTGAGAAGCAACTAGGTGGGTGATGTGGCTGTGGCTCCAGTGACCGTGACTGGCTGGATATAGAAGGTGAGAATCAGCACAGAGAGAAGATTGCTTGTTCTTGGGAAGTGTCAACTAAGCTGGCAAGCCCTGGTAGGCACTGGACCCCTGCCCTTTCCTAGTGCCATCCATACTTTGCTCCCTAAGAGCTCCACAAAGACCCAAGTGCTCTCTGGAGCAGGGACAAGGACAGGGAGGCTAGTGGTAGACACGGCCTTATCACCTAGTTAATAAAAAGACAGCCAGATGTTCCTATATGTTCCTATGGCGCTTTGGTGATGTGTGCTTTTCAGACTACATGGGGGATGTGGGGACTCCCACAGACAGGTAAGACAGCTGCCAAGAGAAGGGGCATCTTAATAGCTTTGCCAGACAACATGTATTGTTCTTGGATATTGCATCACAACTCAACACATGGTAGTTTCTAAAAGACTAGTTCTCATGTGGCCTCTGAAACTTTATCCATGAACTTTCCATTTCTGTACATTGTGAGAGAAGGAGGCCAAGAGGCTTAGAATGATGGTAAAAAAAAAAAAATCACACACATACAGAGAGAGAGAGAGAGAGAGCAGTACTTGAACTCAGGGCCTTGAATTCTTGCTCTGCTTTCTTGCCCACAGCTGGCTCTCTACTACTTGAGCTATGTCTCTAGTCCAGCTTTCTAGTGGTTAGTTTGGAAGCACAGTCTCTGTCTTTTCTGCCTGGGCCATCCTACAACTATGATCCACCAGATCTCAACCTCTGGAGTGGCTGGGATCCAGGCCTCAGCCACTGGGCCTGGAAGAAAAATAGTTTGACCTCAAGGAGTCTTGAAGTGTCACAATCTCCCCATCAACCTCTGTACTTAGACTATTCTTCCAGACCAACATCCGTGCTGACCAGCAGGGGCAGTGTGCAGATGGCAGCTAACTGGCCCACAGTGGTGACCATACCCATGGCATCTAGCACCATAGTTTCTGGGTGTTCAGTACAGATAGGCACCTGTTCTCCCCAGCTGGGCCTGACATTCTACTGTAGGTCACTTCAAGAGAAAGAGACCTGAACCATCCAAGATTCCAAAGAGCCAGATATGGGACCCTGCAGGCAGGCAGGCCCTGGTCACAGTCACCAAGGGTCTCCATAGGGGTCACATTGGACCTTCTCACAAATGAGACTAATATATTCCCTAGGAAAACAGGTGGGCTCAACAGTGACATGTTCATTAAATAATTTTAAACCTGTGCTCCATTTCTAGCCTTCAGTGCTCTGTGCTCTTTTGTTTTGTTTCTGTTTCTGTTTTCATCTTAATTTCTGTTATCTTGTGAATAGCACAGTCACACTGCTGTGGGGGTGTAAAATGTGTTACTCTGTTCAAAGTAAACATTTAAAACAATTCAGTAGCCCTGTTTCCTTTCCCTTCTCCCTCCCCTCCACTTTTTTTTTTTTTTTTAATTCTGAAAACTTCAAGAAATGGAAGGAAGGGGGTTGCTCTGGATGGCACAGGCTGTGTCCCAAGTAAATCAGGTATCCAGAAAGCAGGGTTCTACTACACAGGCGCACAGTTCCAGTCCTAACCTACAGGGGACACCATGCCCCAGGTATCCCGCTAGCCCCCACAGAGACGATCCCAGAGCATGATGCCCATGCTCCCTGCGGCTGGACATGGTGAGGGTAGGGCCCTTGGATCTGTTAGGTACCCCTCAGATGCAGGAGAGTGGTGACCTGGAAGGCAAGACCAAATCAGGAGACACTGCAGTTCCTCAACAGGAGGACCTCATCTTTTGTAGAAGCTTTTGAACCCCAAAGCTTGGAGCAGAGGAGCCAGGAAGGAAAAGAGGGAAAAAGGGAAGCCTGGGTCCAGATGCTGGGACTTTCACCTCCATGACAGGTGAAAGTACAGAGGGTGGGGCAATGAAAGATGAGGCTCATAGCCCCGAACCCATCACCCCTAAATGTCTCTCTAGGGAACAAAAGCCTTATCCCTTTTAGGTTACTTCCTAGTGGGGACCTTTGATAATGAACTCTCAAACTAACCTCTATCTGTCCTATGATCCACTGGGTTCTTTTTAATTTTTTTTTAACAAGCCATCAATGAAGGCCCATCCCCCAGGCTCTTTTGTTCCTCTTCAGGGTGACCCTCAGACCAGCTCTGTTTTCTCTATATCTTCTTACCTTCTACCATAAATGCAGATGGAGGAATACATGGAAGTGTGAAAGGTGGGAAGATGACCATAGATGTCAGGCTTCCATGAAAACTTACTAGAAGTCCAGGAACAAGAAATGACTTTCCTGAGCCTCTGTCCCTCTGGAGCCTGAGACAATGGATGGAAAGATGTCATGGAGCTGTTCTACTCTTTTATTCTAACTCAGCTGAAGGGCCTGGGGAGGCAAGGGTGGCTGGAAGAGAACTGGAGGGCAGCACTAGGCAAGAAGCCAGATGTGGATACTGGGCCCTTGCCTCAACCTTCTCCACTTTGGACGCCATACCACCCATCCTTTTCCCTGCACACTGTCAAGTGCTCAGAGACGTTGAGGGAAACAAAAGTAGTTACCTCCAGATCTGGGGGCTGTGGCATTGGCTGGGCATGTTCATCATGGATGGCCAGTTTGTGAAGCACAAAACGGACAACACAGACCTCAGGCCTCCACATTTGGGACTACTGTGCCCATTTTGGGCTGTGGCTAGTTCCTTGGAAGGCACTTCCAACAGAGTAACCTCAGCACAGATCAGGGAGAAGAAGGAACTTGAGTTGGTATGTTTTAGGTAGCTGTCATCAGAGCCAGCTTGGGCTCTCTGAACCTCTTCAGGCTGAGCTGGCTGCCAGTTCCCTGACTAATCAACAGACTCCTGTCCTGACCCCCAGCCTACCCTTTCTCTGGGGGCTCCAATGCCCAACTAGGTGCTTACCACCACCTGAAGTACCCCCCTGGGCTCTGTTCTCCTCACAGGGGATTAGCCCATATCTTCTTAAGATTGGGGCCTTACCCATGTATTCTCGGCTAGTTTGGAATCTATCAAGCTACATTTGGCCATAATTTTTTTTTTTTTGGTCGGTTGTGGGGGCTGAACTCTGGGCCCGGGCGCTGTCCCTCAGCTCTTCAGCTCAAGGGTAGCTCCCTACCACTTGAGCCACAGCACCACTTCCAGCTTTTTCCTGCTTATGTGGTGCTGAGGAATCAAACTCAAGGCCTCATAAATGCAAGGCAAACACTCTACCACTGATCCAACTTCCCAGCTATGGCCATAGATTTTTTTAAAAAGAAGCCTTATACAAACTGTTCCCTAGAGTTTTACCACGTCCCATCTGCCTAAAAGACCCTTCTCTGAAGATCTAGGAATGTCAACCCCTTCTCTGTCCCCTCTCAACAGAAAGTAACCTGGATTGGTCATTACCCTTGTTCCCTAATGCCAATTAGAGTTTCAATCTAGGAGGGGGGAATGAGGGAAAGAGGGTAACTGCTAGGTAGATATGGATAAAAATTGGCAGACATAACATGGCAGATAGCACATGGTCCATCATGACGCTTCTAGTTCCCATGGTGACTCAAACTCCTGCTGAAATGCTTCTCCCATAATGCCCTGGGTATCTGCTCAACCAAAATAGCCAGGCAGCCTATGCACAAGCCATCAAGCAATCAGTGCAAAGCCCAAGGGAAGATGTATGAGAGGAACCTCATACTATAAAAATTATCCTCTTAGAGGAATCCACTGGATTCCTCTTTGGGACCCCTTCCAAATGGAAAGTCTCCCTACTTTCCTTCCACTTTAAAATAAACTTGTTATATCTACTTTAAAAAAGAAAGCAGACCTTAGGCTCGACACTGTGGTGCACACCTGTAATTCTAGCTACTCAAGGAGGCGGGATGAGAATCACAAGTTTCAGACCAGCCTAGGCAAAGGTAGTACTGACTATTGTACAGAAAAACCATTAATACTCACCCATTTCTCTCATGAAGTGATGGTAGCAAGGCTCAAGGATAGAGCAGCTCTACGTCCTGAGTTCAATCCCCAGTACCATAAAACAAACAAGTAGGTAAATTGAGACCTGAAAACATCCCAAAAGCAGTGTATGTGTATTAAGAATGTGCTACATCCTTATTTTAATAGTAATAATTAAACTGGGCAACAATGAACTTAGGGCTGGGCATTGATGGTTAATGCCTGTAATCCTAGCCACTCAAGAGGCTGAATTCTAAGGATCACAGTTAAAGCTAGTCTAGGCAGAAAAATCTGAGAGACTCTATCTCTAGTTAACCAGGAGGGGTGGCTCAAGTGGCAGAGCACCAAACATGAGTAAAAAAAGCCAAGTGAGAAGCCACGTGTTGGTGGCTCACACCTGTAATCCTAGCTACTCAGAAGGCTGAGATCTGAGGATCACGGTTCAAAGCCAGCCTGTGCAGGAAACTCCGTGAGACTCTTACCTCCAATAAACCACTTAGAAAATGGGAAGTAGTGCTGTGGCTCAAGTGGTAGAGCGCTCACTTTGAGCTGAAGAGCTGAAGGACAGCGCCCAAGCCCAGAGTTCAAGCCCCACAACTGACAAAAATAAAATAAAAATGAAAAAAGCCAAGTGAGAGCACAAGGCCTGTATCAGCATGTGAGCACGCATGTATGTGTGTGCATGCGCATGTGCGTGCGCGCACACACACAAACGCACACCAAAAGTACTTAGGAAGGAATAAATCAGAGCTTCCTCTTTCTATTACATTGTGGGCTCCCAGGGCTCCTCATCCCTCTCCTCTCCATCCCTAGTGGCCAACACAGGGGTGTTGTAGCAAAGATCTGTGAAGCTCAACTGTGTTGTTTCATTGCCCC